CCGCGCCCCCCGCAGGCGCGCCCGCCCCGTCGGCGTCCCAGCGCCGCAAGCGCACGTCGTTCAGCGCTGAACAGCTGCAGCTGCTGGAGCTCGTCTTCCGCCGGACCATGTACCCCGACATCCACCTGCGCGAGCGCCTGGCCGCGCTCACCCTGCTCCCCGAGTCCAGGATCCAGGTGAGCCCCGCGCTGGGCAGGGGCTGCCCCCGGGGGGTGGTGTCGGGACCCGTCGCTGGGGCGATGGGGTGGGGCGCACGCAGCCGTTTCCCTCCGTCGGCGTCCAGTACGATCGGGGCCCCTCCGAGGACGCCCGCCGGCCCCTCGAAAGGGTCAGAACGTCCATCCCGAGCAGGAGGGTGAGAAGGAGCACTTTCACACTTTTTCTCGATCCAGGAAGGGACAGATGAGGCACGGTTGAGGCTTCCACCGGTGGGACCCCGGTCTCTGGGAGAGAGCAGGGCTGGCTGAGTCTCCGAGTGGCCCCCAGCGCCCCTAAGGCCCCTCTCTTGGCGGGTATTGGGTTCGAAGGGGTGTAGCATCTCGGGGTAAAGCCTGAAGCACGTGGGGCTTCTTGTCACAGTTTGAAAAACCCGGTGCCAGGCGCGTTTATTGCAAAGGGATTGAGATCCGAATTCGGGAGCTTGCTGGTGACGAAGAGCCTGCCTTTTTGCGCATGGTCTGCGTCCACATGCAGTTTTAAGTAGGAGCCCTCACTTTACCCCTGGGAGGAGCGGGCTTGTTTTCCTGCGTCCCTGGTGGAATCCGTCCGTCGGCCCCAACCGGTGGTGCACAGGCTTCGTAAGCAGGACACCCTCGCTATTTGTTGGGAGACGGTGAGCAGAAAAATGTATTCACAGAAGTGAAGTCCGCGGAGCAAAAACCCCTTCTTGATTGATTTGACAAGGGACCACACTTCCAGAAATCGATTTTCTAAATTCTCTTGCCGCCTGTCATCTCCAAGGCTAGAAGCCTTTTATCCTCAAATGCTAAGTGCTTCTCATTCTGCCACCCCACTTTTCATCGCAGATATCCCTATATGATGCCCAGGTAGAACAAGGCGGGTTCCCCATTTGGCACCTGGAAATGGTAAGGCAGAGAGAGCCAGGGCCTCTGAACTCCTGGCCGCCCATTGGCCCAAGTGCTTTCTGGAAAGCGGGAAGCTCCGGACAGGGAAGCAGGGCACGTTGACCGGGAACTCGGGAACGGTGAACTAGCGTTAAGGACTTCAACCCAAAGCTGCTTCTCTGCCCTCTTCCAGGTGTGGTTCCAGAACCGGCGGGCCAAGTCAAGGCGGCAGAGCGGGAAAGCCTTTCAGCCCTCGGCCAGATCCCAGCTTTTCCTCCACCATGCCGTGCAGGGACCCGAAGTGAAATGTTTGAAGCCCCAGTCGCCTCTTGAAGTAGACGTGAACTGCCTGCCCGATCCCAACAGAGTTGGGGAGGGCATCCCCCACCCGAGCTGCCAGGGTCAGCGCTTCGAAGCCTACTCTCCCCTCTCTGAAGACACTGGTTCAAAGCTGGACTCGTGGGAGGAACACATCTTCTCTGCCTTTGGTAACTCTTGAGGAATCTGGGTGAGGTCACGGTAAGCTCCGAGGAGCCCCGCGCCCCTGAAGGCGAGGACACACACATCAGAAGGCTGTCCTTTCTGGCTCCGGGGCGAGGGACACTCGCCCGTTAACTTCGGTGAGGGTGTCGCCGGCGCCCTCCCCTGTGATGCTCCCTCCCCTTCGCCTGTGAGCCTTTCACCCCTTCTCCTCCCTCCGCGGGCCCCTCCCCGGGAGTCTCACGGTCCTTTGACCAGGGTGCCTCCAAACCCGCACCTCTAATTCCATCTGCATCCCGCTCCATGTGGCTGGTCTCCCTCTTCCCTTCCGGACTGCTTTGTCAGAACTCCCTCTCCCCTTCCCAAGAACACGGCGGCCAGGCTCACCCTCCCCTTGCGCGCCCCAGCTGCCGGCTTCTCGCCTTCCTCCAAGGCTCGTGACTTTGAACTCACCAGGACACAGTCCTCACCCTGTCCCCGAGATCGACTCCTCTTCTGTGTGTGTGGCCCATCATCTTTACACTCATTCGTCGCTCCGGTGATTCTGCATGCAGATTATTTCTAGAACCCCCTGCCTCTGGCTTCTCAGATTTTCACACATCGCTCTCTAGAAATCTGTGGTAGCCTCCCGTGGCCACCAGATGGAAAAAGCTTTGGGTTACCCTTCCAACATCTCCAGCCAAAGGGGCGGCCGTGCAAATCTTCTTGAGGTCACCCGTGCACAGCGTGGTCCTGTCCCTGAGCCCCTCCTGTCCATCGTCGTCGAGGACCAAATGAATACTACTCTGTCTCAGACACTTGAGGTCCCCCTCCCCTGGAGTCTGAACCTTCCTCGAATCCTGATTTTGTACGTTTTACTCCAGTCACTCCCACATTACCCTTAGCACTTGTAATTGTACTTGGTGCAACTTGAGTGGGTTATTAAATGCTTTCCACAAATGCTCCACTGTCATTCTGTTGAAATGAGTTCGGTCCTTTGGACAGCACGTCGTGCGGCGCCATCATCCACCGCTTGTGAAAGAACAGTCTCTGCAAATGTGGCCCTTCGCCTTCGGTCATCAGGCTGCTGTGCTGAGAGCTTGTTTCAAATTAGTCGCATGACTGCTGGCTTCTGATTTCTCTCTCCCAGTGTACACATTAGAATATATGCAAATTAGGGTGTAAGTTAGCCTGAGATCCATTAAAATCCTGTCTTGATATTTTGAGGGTTTTCAAACTCCTGAGGGCCAAGGGAGACTTTGTCTACGGGGGGTGGCCATGGGGGGGGGTCTCTGTACGCGGCGCCTTGGAGGAGGCCCGCAGGAGCCGTGGCTAAGGCCAGGACTCCTGTCCCGATGTTACTGGAATAGTCTGAGCGCCCTGGAATGTCTTCGAGATCGCACAGGCCGGTTGCCCTCATTTTCCCAGAGGTGTTATTCAAGTGACTTGCAGGTTTCAGCGTAGCAAATGCATTGCCAGAAGCAGCGGGAGACAGTTCGGGCTTTAGTGGCAGACCTGGCTACCGAACCCTTGAAAATGGTCTGAAACCAAACACAAGATGGTAAACGTTAGCTGCGGTTATTGAAGTGCTTGCGCGTGCCCCGCATCCTGCTCCACAGTCCCTTTGCGTTTGGACAGGTGACCCGGACAGGTGCAAGACTACAGACATTCACACCCACAAGACTGAAAACCTGACACTCGGAACTTAGAGTCCACTAAGGGTCACACGTAGAGGTAAATCTTACAAAGAGCTTATTAATTAATTGGATTATTGCCCTTACATTGTGTTTTCCCTAGCGAATACCTACAAAATCTATAAACATTTAAATCTTGTTATTTTTAATTTTTAAAAAAATTGTGGGACCCTCCAAGAACATTAGTCTGCACCTCCCTTGAACTCTCAAGAGACCGTAACTGCTAAATGTGTTACAGGCACTGTGTGTTTAATCCTTACCATGCCGTATAAGGCAGGGGCTATTACTGTTCTAAAGAACAAGAAACTTTATGGTTCAGATCACAAGTGACTCAAACCTGGGACTCCGTCCACCCATCTCTCCACCAGCAAATCATGCCTCCTGTATTGGCCTGGACTTTTTAGTCAGGACCAGGACGAGTGATAATGCTTAAAGGCAACCCCCCAAAGCAGAATTTCTGCATCCAAGGGAGTAGTCTCATCTTGCAAAGCAATCATCATGGAAAACCCCATGCTGGTTCTAGTGACACTGATGTTGGTTCGAGCTCTTTTGAAACTTTTGTTTGCTCACTGCACAAACATTTGCTGCCTGTGAACAGGCACTCTATCAGGGCCTGGAGATAAAATGGTGAGCCAAGCCCCGAGTAGAGAGGCCAGCAGGCAGACCCAAGAAGAAATGTAAAATTGCAAATGTGGTGCGCGCTGCATACAGAGATACAAGAGGACCTGGAGACGGTGTGTTGTGGTCAAGGAAAGCTTAGCTGAGAAACTGACGTGTAGGATGGTCAGGAGTCACCAAGGTGAGGAGAGGGAAGTGCACGTGCAAAGGCCCCGTGGCGGAAGAAGCAGGACGGAGAAATTGAGGATGTCAGACCATACGTTGCTGTCTGGGTCTTGTGGAAGCGTTCTGAGTTTGTTCTGAGAGCCCTAAGGCCTTAGATGGAGAGAACATGACCTATTCTGCAGTTTAAGACTATCACTGCCCGAATGTCGCAGTTGAGGGGGCAGAGTGGACACTGCAGAGAAGGTAGGGATGACCGAAGACTTCCGGACTGGCGGGGACAGCGGCCGGGCCGAGCGAGAGAGGTGGTAATGACACAGGCTCAGACAGTGCCTGAATTTAAGAGAAAGAATTGAACAGGCAAATCTTTTGGTAGATTCTCAATGGTGGAAGCGAATCTGGTTTTGGGGGACTCAGCGAAAGTCTTTCAGAACCAAACCTACACAGCATGTAGCATTGATGGCTCTTTAGAACTTGCAAAATGTGCTGGGCCGTGGCAGCATGGTGACCCAGGTGCCCCTAGGCGGACTGTATTAAAACCAACCTCTCACTGGGTCTACAGTAAGCCAAGAACTGGTTAAGTGTTTTTTCACTGTGATTTGTACAGATGGAAAAACCCCCTCCCTTAAAGTCAGATTGGATGATATCGTAATTCAAGATGACTTGGTGATTAATCTCTATTGTTTCCCCTAAAAATATCAATCAGTGGAAGGGACATGTGGGTGGCTCAGTTGGTTGAGCATCTGCCTTCGGCTCAGGTCGTGATCCCGGGGTCCTGGGATTGAGCCCCGCATCAGGCTCCCTGCCCGGCGAGGAGCCTGCTCCTGCCTCTCCTCTGCACCCAGTGCTCCTGCTCTCTCGCTCACACACGCTCGCTCTCTAATAAATAAAATCTTAAAATATACATATATTCATATGTATATATAAAATACAGTGGAAATTACAGTTCCTTAAAACTTTTCAAAAAAGGAATACTTATCAAGTGTATTAATTAAATGAGAATGGTAGGCAGTATTACTTTTCATAGATCAATTTATTTAGAATTACAAATATTAAGAATAGAGGATTTATGCATTTCTTAATTAACGTAACAGTTTAGCTAAATATAAACTCTGCACTAAAGTTCTGCAGTGGCACAAGACCAACAAAGAATATGGAAGCATTTTTAAACTATACAAAAATTTCAAATGGAAAATAATCTCGTTTTAGTTTTATAATACATTAACATATAAAAAGTCCCATTTTATGAGACATCTAAAAGAATCAAAGCCACTTCTACAGCTATATCTTAAACTCCAAATCTGAAAACAATTTTATTATATTTTGACTTTATAATATTCTATATTAAAACAAAGAAAATTCCAAATACACACTTTTTACAAGATTAACATTTTAGGCAGGGTTTTTCCTTTAAAAAACCAAAAAACAACAAAAAAACCCCACAACCAAATACAAACCTTTTTTTCTGCATTTCACAGCACTGGTTATTTTATTTGTTTTCCTTATAAAATCTTTTGACTTTATAAATTGTATACGGTTGGATTTTAACCAGTCATCTGGTTCAAAAGTTGTGCAAATAAACAAAATATGAAAATAGTGTGTTATCAGTCTTTTTAAATAAGTCTCCTAACAATAGCACTTTTTGTCCTGAATTGACGGGAAAAGTCATGCCAAATCCACTTGCTGAAATGTAGCATTTTGCAAGTAATTTATTTTTTTCCTGCTCCTTCATTTTCTTTCAACAGACAAACAACAAAGGTTTCTTTTATAAATTATGATAAATTAAAATAGTTATTATTATAAAATGATCTCTCGAGCCGTGTCACACTGCAAGTATCCGTCCCGCATACTTGTCAAGTCCGCATCTCCCATTGCTATTCCAGAGGCTTCCTGCACACGTGCCTGCCCATCTCTCAAGGGCGCTCTCTTCCAGAGACTGGCAGGGTGAGGAGCTAACGGAGCCTGCGCCGCAGTCCTCTGGCCGGAGTTCTGGACTGCCCCCGGCAGCGCAAGGAGCCCGTGTCTGCGCGTGCCCCTCCCCCCCCCCCACGCAGCTGTCTGCGTGTGTTGGGCTGAATTCATGCACGTTCAAAAAAGGGTCAGCATACTCTTCCGTGAAAGCCTATTACGTTCAGTTTCAGTTTAAAAATACTTGCTTATAAACATGTAACATAAGCGATGCTACTGCAGCTGAATAATAAAAAGAAAAATAAATAGAATGCTGGTCAGCAATGCTGGTTTACGAAGCAGTATAGTATATTAAAACGCCCTAGTTGGAGATTTACATTTCCCTTGCTTTCCAGCGCTTGGGTTATCTGGTTATCTGGTGCTGGGAGCCTCGGTGCAGGGAGCGCCGTGTCCTGTGCAGCGCGAACAGTGGAGGCTCCTCCTCAGTCCCTGTTGGTGTCGTTGGCTGCGAAGGCGTGCAGGTTTCCCATCTGGCTCAGGCCACTCTGAATGTGTGCAACGTGGATTTCTACGTTATTCTGAAAGCAACTGAAGAAGAAACATGGTTCACTCCCTTATTTTGCGACGTTAGGAAAATACTTGTTAACAAAGGAAGAGC